GGTTTGAACCTAGTGTTGGTCTCCTGAATACCACCTAACCAGGAGACCAGAGCAGTTTGTAAACATATTGAAAGGAGCCCACAAAGCACCAGAGAAAACTATTAAGTGCAAAATCTGTGAGTAACTGAGGGTTGGGAAGAGGAATACTAAATTACTAATGGAATACAATACTTAGATCCTTAAAAAAAAAAAAAACAAAACAAAAAAATGACAGGAGTAAGATCTCACATATAAATAATAATCTCGAAAGTAAATGGATTAAATGCTCCAATTAAAAGACAGACTGGCTGAATGGATTTTTAAAATGACCTATTCATATTATGCCTTCAAGAAACATACCTTACCTACAAAGACACACATACACTGAAAGTGAAGAGAAGGAAAAAGATATCCCATGCAAATGGAAAACAAAAGTGTGCAGGAGTACCTATACTTACATCGGATAATACAGGCTTTAAATCAAAATCTGTACTAAGAGACAAAGAACGGTACTATATAATGATAAAGGAATCAATACAGCAAGAGGATAAAACAATTATAAATATATATGCACCCAACACCAGAGCACACAGATACATAAAGCAAATATTATCAGATTTAAAGGGAGAGAAAGACACTAACACAATAATAATAAGGGAGTTTAACACCCACTCTCAGCACTGTACAGGTCAGCAAGACAGAAAAACAAGGAAACATTGGATTTAAATGATGCAATAGACCAGATGGACCTAACAGACATATACAGAGCATTCCATCCAATAGCTGCAGAATACAGAGTCTTTTCATCAGCACAAGGAACATTCTCTAGGGCTAACCATATATTAGGCCACAAAATAAGTCTCAACAAGTATTTCTTTTGACCATAATGGAATAAAACTAAATATCAATAGCAAGAAGAACTTGCAAAACTACTCAAATATATGGAAATTAAACAAAATGCTCTTGAATGACTAATAGGTCAAAGAAGAGATTAAGAAGGAAACCAAAACATTTCTTGAGACTAATGAAGACAGAAAAACATGCCAAAACCTATGGGATACAGCCAAGGTGGTATTAAAAGTTTATAACAATACATGTCTACATCAAAAAAATAGAAAAGTTTCAAATAAACAGCCTAACAATGCACCTCAAGGAACTAGAAAAGCAAAACGAACTAAACTAAGTATAAGAAAAGAAATAATAAAAACCAGAGCACTAATTAATGAAATTGAGACTAAAAATGAGATACAAAAAAAAATCAATGAAACAAAAAGCTGGTTCTTTAAAAAGATAAACAAAATTGACAAACTATTAACAAACCATTACACATCAACAACAAGCTAGCAAAAAAGAAATTAAGGGCCAGCCTGTGGCTCACTTGGGAGAGTGTGGTGCTGATAACACCAAGTCAAGGGTTAAGTTCCCTTTACCAGTCATCTTTAAAAAAAAGAAAGAAAGAAAAAGAAATTAAGAAAGCTATCTCGTTTACAACAACAACAACAACAAAATAAAATACCTAGGAATATATTTAACCAAAGAGGTAAAAGATCTCTACAAGAAAACTATGAAATATTGATTAAAGAAATTAAAGACAACACACAAAAAAATGGAAAGACATCCCATGCTCATGGATTGGAAGAATTAATATTGTCAAAATGACCATACTATCTGCTGTGGATCAAATTGTGTCCCCCCAAATCCATGTATTAGAAACTTAACCTTCACTGTGACAGTATGAAGAGGGTGGGAAATCCTATTAAGTGACTGAAGAGGTGACTAGCTGTAGTGAATGGTTAAATGGTGATGATTCTGGGGACTTTAAAAGGAGAGCACATGAGGAGCTGTCTCTCTCTCTGCTGTGCCATTCTGCCATGTGAGACCCCTGTGTCACTGTCACCACCAACA